CATAAACACGCGCACACATAAACACACACACACATACGCAGACACACAGAAACACACACACACACACACACACACACACAGAGAGAGAGAGAGAGAGAGAGAGAGAGAGAGAGAGAGAGAGAGAGAGACACACACACACACACACACACACACACACACACACACACACATAGAGACACACACCTCTTCTTGCCCACCCATCAAAAGACAACTCAGTGAAAATACTTGAAATTCTTTGTAAAGCTGCTGCATTCGCTAACGCTTTGACCAAGTAGTACGCAATTCATTGGGAATAAACAGAGAAAATCTCTCATGAACCTTGAACCTAAGCGTTGTACGTCAACTGCAGGATGGAGCCCTTCAACAATGTCATTTACTCTGTTCTGTCGGCTGTTTTTCTGTTTAGTTTTAGTACAAGTTACACGGCACTTGCAATCAAATAAGGTCATATGAGTGCCGAAGAATAGATGGCTTACAAGATAGTAACAAAAAGGGAACTGCTGCTTTTTCTTTGCTCATCCTCATTATCGTCATATCCTCTACTTCTTTTGTATGTTGTCACTCTCTTGTAAACTGCTATTCCCGGGCTGCCTTGATAGTCGAAGCAGACTTTGTGCTGCTGAAACTAGACAGGTGAGCAGAGTAAGCCTGATTCCCCGTTTGAACTTCACTGTTGACATCTACCCCATGGCGCTCATATGACGTTATGCAGTTGCGAGCACCGTAAAACCCTACTAAAACTAAACTGAAACACAAAAATGATGGAGGGGAAAAAGGACGATAGATGTTTGATAGAAAAGAAAAGGCAAACCACAACAGAGTCGGCTGTTCTCTCCGTATCTGTATTGTACGTGTCTGCTTTCTGACGTCAACTTGCCACACGATGTATGGTCTACCTTTTCACCGATTTCCTGTTATTAGTCTCCTTTCAGTTCATCATTATGCCTATCTGTTATCTTTCATTCTATCTATATGATCTGCCCATTTCCGTCTTTGTTGGAGCATAAATTTGGGGAAATCTACCACTCAAGTTTACTTTCGTATTCATGGGCGTATTGTTTGATCCTCTATTCTTATACCTAGCATCTTCCTTTCCCCTGTTCTCTGCGTTCTGTGTTTTCCTTAGTTACTTTATTATGATATCCCTTGTAGTTGTCCAGGTTTATAATCCATTTTATTTTCCGGGAACAAGGCACTCATTGAAAACTATGTAGCTGATGTTCCATCTTTCTTTATCAGCTTTACCGGCTTCACACCTACCCTGTAGGTTTTATTTGCAGCGTTATAATGGAGATTTCTCCAAGATCGAATGTGGCACCCAGTTTGTATCACCTCTGTGGCCTTGGGCAAGAAGTCCTTTTTGAATTTTCTCTTCATAGTGCACTGTTGGGTGATGGTCTATTGTCGGCGTGTACTGTGTTAACCAGTCGAGTCATGTCCGAAGTTGTGTCCTTGGGAAAGACACTTCACACAAATTTCCCAATTGACTCCGTCATTTCGGAGACAGACGTTAAACTAGGAGGCCCCGCCCATTAAATGACCTAATGGTGTTGATAGGGGCGTTAAACCCATACCATTTCACCATTTTTTAGGATTCTGAAATTAAAGCAAGAAATAGGTGAACACTATTGGAAGAAAAGAGACCCCATCTTTTACTGGCCCAGAACAAACTTTGTAGGAACTGGTCCAAAAGGAATTCTCCCAAAACATCAGTCTCTCTATAGTTGAGTGCCCGTAAAAATTTACCACCAACCCCCCCCCCCCCCTATTTTTTAAAAAATTTCATTTTATTCCAAATAAAAGTCAAATGGGGCGCTCAACAGTGAACTAGATTTACGTACGACTGCACAGTCTAATAAAATTCTAGTCTACGACATAACATAAAAAAACACATGGAGGCGAATGCTGACCTTGCTACCATGGTTACCGCTCTTTTAATAACAAAAAAAATCATCTCAAACTACGGGGGGTTCATCAGCAGATTGCCTCACCGCCCTGTTCAACCAGCCAAATTTCTCCTGGAATCGAAGGTTCCCCGGAGTGAGTGTTTACTTTCTGTGGCCCACATTTTCACTTCTACATCGCAGTTATCTCTTTGCTAAATGCTAGAAATTTTCATTTGAAATACCATAGGTGCTCCAGCATTTGAACTGATATATTATGTGCTCCATTAGCTCAGTTGGTATCATGCTGGAGCACGGAACGGATGGCCTTGGTTCAAATCTCAGACACGGCATTCTTGAATTTGGGTCGTTTTTTCTAGCTTTCAAGACTCTCAGCCCATTTGGCTAGGTCCTGTTGGAGACAGACGTTAAACTCGGAGGTTCCATCGTTTGAAATAACTCAATAGTGTTGATAGGGACGTTAATCCTGGACACTTACTTTACTTGATTTGTTATTGGTCTTAAAGAATATATTTCGGCCTGCAAAAACTTGAAGCTATAACTCATTTCGTCTCTTTGTTTCGTGCTAAAAAATGACCTTGCTTGAATGTACACTTTTTATAATCGTTTACATTACAGAGATCTTTGGGTTTCAACAGCAATTGCGATTCCGAACTGGCGATCAGATTTTTCTCCTCCCTGCAAATATATTCCGTACTTGTGAACCTCCGAAAGAAATGTGTCTAAGAACATTTTTCAACGGCTGTATGTCTTCGAATCTATAACAGAACTGATATTCAGGTCAGAAATTTTGCGCATTCCAGAAAGGTCACAAGAATTCACCGTTTCGAATAAATCGTTTAACGTGCAGATTTAAAGTCATGGAAATCTTGAGATCAGTCAAAATAATTAATAAGAATATAATATGCTAAAAATGAAGAAGAAAAAAGGAAGGCAATACAAAAGACAGGTTTTAAAATGCTTTGTTTATTTGCTTGTTTCTGTTTGTTGGTTGTTGTTATTTGTTTGTTTATTTCTTGTTGCTGGGGGGTTGTTGTTGGGTTTTGTTTGTTTGTTTGGGGTTTTTGGGGGGTTTTTATTGCAAGAAACTGTGAGAGGGTGAATGTGAACAGTCGAAAACAGGACTTTCGCCAGGTCTGTCATTGAATAGGGTGGCAGCCTCGTTCGTAAACCATAGAAATCCAGTTTCCGTGTATTGCAGTTAATAGTTTGATTTTATCGAGTATAATATTCACTTTTCTACTAGAATATTTCATCCCACTGAGCTCGTGTTGAAACATGAAAACACATGTCGGTTTATGAGACACGGCTCACCTTGTACATTTTGGTGAACCGACTGTGGTAAAGTTTGAACCACAGCATGGACTGTTTGTGCTCGTCCTCCTCTTCCTCTGTCTCTGGGAGACCTGAACCAAGAGAGAAAGGGTACCGGATTAATGCCCCTATCATCAGTAGTAGGTCTTTTAAGAGATGAAACCTACCTAGGAAACTAACGTCCGTCTCCAATACGGCCGGACCTGTACCAGTGAAAAAGTGAAGAGAGAGATAGGTTTGTAGTTTAGTTTAGTTTAGTTTAGTTTTAGTGTAGTTTAGTGTAGTTTAGTTTAGTTTAGTTTAGTTTAGTTTAGTTTAGTTTAGTTTAGTTTAGTTTAATTTAGTTTAGTTTAGTTTATTTTAGTTTAGTTTAGTTTAGTTTAGTTTTGTTTAGTTTTGTTTAGTTTTGTTTTGTTTAGTTCGCAGCTAAATAATATGGTCATATGAGCGAACAAGTTTGGTTGTTTTCACGACAATTCACAGCACAGTTTGGTTTTATTCAATAGTTAGATTGCATATCTTATGGTTAACATTTAGTATTGAAAACGGCAATTTACCTTTGTAAAAGAACAATTATTTACATTTTTAATAAAGTCCATTGGCAATGGTAAGATCGAGAATTTTGTTGGGATCAACGACAGAGAACCAATTCTTTAGATTTGTACATTTAAGATAATTTGCTTCGGGTCTCTCCACAGTCTGATCATTCTATTAGTATTTGTCGTAAAGTAAAATCCGTATCGCAGCCGAAACAAAAGGGCTGTCATCTCCCAGCAGGAGGTATGTATGTGTTTGGGAGACAAGTCCAATACGTAATCTAGTCAAAACAACTTCGTCTCTTCTGGAGAGGCCTGGAGGTTTCCGTGGGTCCAAATTCGGCCATAACACTTCGGAGTTTGGTGTTCAATCATAATGTTCCCTCCACAGACTGGAGGTGTAGCATTTGACCTTATCTTTAAAGTCTGATATATGTCTGTGGAATGGTGTTCTCCGCTGATCCCAATAGAAGGGACCTAATCTGGGGCGCTCCGGTTAGTTCAGTTAGTATAATACTGGACTTAAAGCGGAATGCTTTCCACTCATTTAGGTCTATCTCAGCCGTATATGAAATGGACGTTAAGTTCTGAGGTGTTCTTGTATAATCTTACAGGATTGATAGGGCCTTTAAAACATACAACTATTTTACAATAAGCTGTGTGGAAACATAATAAAAACTTGGAGAGATTTAACCGCCTTCCTCCTTTTTAAAGGGAGAAAGGAAAAGAGAAAGAAAAGATCCACACACATCTCCAATTCCTTGCAATTTTTAAAAATTTAGGTACTTAGCATCCCTATCAACTCAGTTAAGATCTTTTAGGGGACGAGCTACCGATCTTGCCTATTCGGGCCAAACCGTGCTGAAAGGGGTCACAACATCCCATTCAGCGGAAAGACCTCGCTATGCGATAACAAATATCTCTCCATTTGAGATCCAAACTCGGGCCTCCCGCGTGCGACAGTGTTTAAAAGCAAGAAAAAAATACATAACGCAGGTACAGACGTCTCTATTTCCTGGCAAAGTCTAAACACCATCATTATAACCACGCACAACATGATACCCTACAACCAGCCGTGTTTTTTAAAAACCGTTTTCGTTCCGTATTACGATAAATATTTATAACCATCTGTACGTCAGATTCCCATCCACCCAGTGCAAATACCTTATTGAGTACGCCCACAGACGCAAATAAAAACGCTCGTTTGACTTGAGCTGCACGTGCAGGGATCAAGACAATAATGGGAACAGTTTGGTAGAATTACCTTGATGTGGGGGATTTGTTTGTTTGAACGGACATTACACGTGCCGAAGCTACTCTCGATCGACACGCCGAACGCGGAACCTGTCAGTTGTAGATCCCAATCCTCCTCTGCATTGAATCCCCTCCC